GAGCGGCGCGCTGCCGCCCCTCGACGCAGGGAACGCAGGTAGGGGCAGGCCCCGGAGGAAGAGGAGGGAGGGACCGGGGGAGACCAAAGAGAAGGACACGGGAGGCCATGCCTCGGAGACGAGGCAAGGAGGGGTGACCAAGGCGGTGGTGCCAGAGGAGAGTCTGGTGAGACAGGAGACGACACGAGCAGGGGGCAGACTCAGGACCAGACCTGGACGCTGCAGCAAACACCTGACCCGACGCAGCTACCTGACCAGACGCAGCAGCCGGAGGAGACTCAGTAGTCAGTGTGTACAGGCTCGACCCCGGCTGACGGGTAAACGTGGCCAAGTGTCGGCCCATCCGAGCACACATGCAGTGGGTCACCCGCTGACTCGCAGGAGTGAACTGGTCAACCCCCCCATCCTGTAGATCAGCACAACTCACCAAGTTCGTAGAGAACGAGGGGAGGTAAAGACCTGACAGGGTGCCAGAAGGGGCCGCCGGACACGGTAAGATAGTGGAGAAGTGGGCAAGGACAGGACCCCCAGAGGGGTCTGCCAGGGAGACCGCAACTGGCCGACTAAGCGGCGTGAGTGTGGTGCGGTCTCGAAAGAAGGAGCGGGAAGCACCCGAGTCAAGGGTGAAGGTGTGTAAGGCCTGAGCCGACATGGTACCTGAGAGAGCAGACTCACCAGCACCTGGTGCAGCAGACTCACCAGCACCTGGAGCAGCAGACGCACTAGCACCTAGAGCAGCAGCCTCACCAGCACCTAGAGCAGCAGTCTCAATGCCCGGGTCAGGCGGAACACACAGGTAACAGTCACCCTCATCACTAGTAGGCCATGCATACATGGCAGTGAGGATAGCATCATAGTCAAGAGTATAGATATCTACCCTCAGCCTAAGCAGCTGCACCCAGTCGGGGAGCTCAGCCGCGTCGCCAAACTCCGTACGCCAGGCGTCGCTTAGACGGGCGAAGCAGCGGGACTCTGCGTGACCAAACGTCCCGCAAGGCTGACCAGTCCGAGCACCAGTGCGAATGACGTACGGACAGCGAGTAGTACCCCGTGACCCTCCACGCTGAGCGTACCACTTACGAAGCTGCTGGGGCGAAAGGACCGCGCACGGACGACGCTGCAGCTGCACCTGGCCACTACAAGCAGCTGCCGAACTACTCACTCCAGGACGACTCCCACTACGGCCACCCCGACAACCCCAAGTAGCGTACCACTCACGAAGCTGCTGGGGCGTGAGGGACTCACGCGGACGTCGCTGGAGCTGCATCTGGCCACCGCCAGGAGCACCAGGAGCAGTGGTAGCCGCCGTAGCAGCAGCAGTAGCAATAGCAGTAGTCGCAGCGCGGCCACCCCTACAACCCCAACTAGTGTACCACTCACGAAGCTGTTGGGGGGCGAGGGACTCACGCGGACGGCGCTGGAGCTGCATCTGGCCACGCCAGGAGCAGCAGTAGCAGTAGAAAGAGCAGTAGCAGCAAGAGCAGCAGTAACAGCAGTACGGGCAGGGCAGTGCTCACCAGTGGCGAGAAGGGCAGGCGTACGACGGCGGCAATGGCGAGGCCGCTACCACTGTAGGGCGAGGGCTCCGCGGCAGCTGCAGGGGCGGCTGCTCCAGGGGCGGCTGCTGCAGGGGCGGCTGCTGCAGGGGCTGTCGCTCCAGGGGCGGCTGCTCCAGGGGCGGCTGCTGTAGTGGCGGCTGCTCCAGGGGCGGCTGCTGCAGGGGCGGCTGCTCCAGGGGCGGCTGTTGCAGGGGCGGCTGCTCCAAGGGCGGCTGCTACAGGGGCGGCTGCTCCAGGGACGGCTGCTGCAGTGGCGGCTGCTTCAGGGGCGGCTGCTGCAGGGGCGGCTGCTCCAGGGGCGGCTGTTGCAGGGGCGGCTGCTCCAAGGGCGGCTGCTGCAGGGGCGGCTGCTCCAGGGACGGCTGCTCCAGGGGCGGCTGCTGCAGGGGCGGCTGCTCCAGGGGCGGTTGCTGCAGGGGTGGCTGCTCCAGGGGCGGCTGCTGCAGGGGCGGCTGCTCCAAGGGCGGCTGCTGCAGGGGCGGCTGCTCCAGGGACGGCTGCTGCAGTGGCGGCTGCTCCAGGGGCGGCTGCTGCAGTGGCGGCTGCTCCAGGGGCGGCTGCTGCAGGGGCGGCTGCTCCAGGGGCGGCTGCTGCAGTGGCGGCTGCTCCAGGGGCGGCTGCTGCAGGGGCGGCTGCTCCAGGGGCGGCTGCTGCAGTGGCGGCTGCTCCAGGGCGCGGGTTAGGGCAGGGCGCCGCGGCGGGTAGGGGTGACGCCACGTGGGTCCCGCAGGGGCGTCGCGACGCGGCAGGGGCAACGGGGCGGGGCCGCGACTGGCGACGGGGCGGGGCCGCGACTGGCGACAGGGCGGGGCCGCTACGGGCAGCGGGGCGGGGCCGCGAAGGGGCCGCGAAGGGAGCCGCGAGGGGGCCGCGAAGGGGCCGTGAAGGGGCCGCGAAGGGGCCGCGAAGGGGCCGCTAAGGGGCCGTGAAGGGGCCGCGAAGGGGCCGCGAAGGGGCCGCTAAGGGGCCGCGAAGGGGCCGCTAAGGGGCCGCGAAGGGGCCGTGAAGGGGCCGCGAAGGGGCCGCTAAGGGGCCGAGAAGGGGCTGCGAAGGGGCCGCGAAGGGAGGCCGCTAAGGGGCCTCGAAGGGGCCGCAAAGGGGGGGCCGCGACGGGCCTCAGGAGCAGGGCAGGCCACTAAGGGGCCGCGAAAGGGTAGGGCAGGTCAGAGCGCGAGGCGCGCTTCGGGCAGGTTAGGAAAAAAAATTTTAATGGTGGGCCCTTAGGAAGAAACGGTCCCACTAGGGAACCTGCTCTGATACCATGTGAAAGAACGAGGAATGAATGCACTAGGAAACAGGTGGGTACAAGTAGGAAAACCTAAAAGAGTTGTACCCTATATTGTCAACCCCACTACAGCCTACACAGACTATAGCATATAAGTTTGACAACCTATTCACCCACGGATACAGTACCGACCCATTTTTCACAACCGGAAATTCACAGCAACTGGCAGAGGCCAAAGGAGTCTATTACGTAAAGACAGGCACCAACTGCATCTGGGTATCCGCGTACTCACTACTGAGGGAACTGTTACTGCAGGAGGCACACGACGGGATTACCTCGGGACATTTTGGGGTAGAAAAAACGCGACAGCAACTGCAGCGGTATTACTACTGGCCGGAGCTGTTGACCGACGTACAGCACCGCGTGGGCTCGTGTCCTACGTGCCAGGTGATGAAGAGCTCGCGAAAAAGAAAGGTGGGTCAGTTGCAGGCGATTCCACCGCCTGAGCGCGCCTGGCAGCAGGTTACCATGGATTTCGTCACGGGGTTACCTTCGAACCCTGGGGGTAACGACGCGGTTATGGTCGTCGTTGACAGGTTGACAAAGATGGCACACTTCGCAGCGTGCAAGAAATCGATCTCAGCCGAAGAAACCGCTCGCCTGTTCATCGCAACCGTCGTTCGACTGCACGGGATACCAGCCGCGATAATCAGCGACCGCGACACGAAGTTCACCAGCAACTTCTGGAAAAACCTTTGGGAGCAGTTCGGGACAAGGCTACAGTTCAGCTCGTCGTACCACCCCGAGACCGACGGTCAAACGGAGCGGACGAATCAGACGATGGAGCAGTTGATTCGTGCCACGTGCGACGACCCGACCACTTGGGAGCAGCAGCTGCAGCTGATCGAGTTCACGTACAACAACGCCACGTCAGCGACGACGCAACAATCCCCTTTCTATCTGAACTACGGGCAAAACCCTACAGTGCCCATGACGCCGAGTCTGGACAACCCAACACCACGTGCACAACAATTTGCCGAAATTCTGCAAGCTGCCCGCACCAGAGCCGCTGAAGCAATTAAAAAAGCCAATGTCATCGCTAAGTGCAACGCTGACCGCCACCGCCGCCCAGTCACGTACCAGTCAGGAGACTACGTACTGCTCGACACACAAAACTTAGACTGCCCGTCGTACCGAAATTACGACCGCGCTACTGTGGACCCTTCCAAATCAGCCACATGATTACCCCAGTGATAGCCCACCTACTGTTGCCAACGGACTGGTACGTCAGCTCGTCATTCCACGTCAGCCTGCTTCGCCCATACATCCCAACCACAAGCCAACTGCCTCGTCACCGCCCGCCATCCATGACTCGCCCTGCATCGGAGCCGACCATCGAGCCCGAAAGAATTTTGAGCCATCGGATTCGACACCCCACGGGAATCAGGAGGATTGAATTCCTCGTTCGCTGGAAGGATCCCACGCCAACTGAAGATAGCTGGGTGCCCCTGGCCAACATCGAAAACCACCCTGCCCTGCAAGTGTACCTGAGGAGCCGGGGTTTCCGCGATATATACGCACTCGCGTAGCGGAGGGGGCTTCTTGAGGGGGGGGGGGGGGGGGTAGTGTAAGGAATTTTCTCGATATTCCTTAGCGCGCCCTGCAACATCGCGTACAGCAGCAGCCGTTGTTCGCCCGTTACTGCTAACGGGGCTTCGCCGACTTCGCGCGCACTGTTTCACCAAACCTCGCACTGCTGGACCGGCCGTGTCGGCCTACGCTTCGGAACTAGCCCGAACCTCGCTGCCAGCGTAGCACTAACTAGCTCGCACGCACCGCGTTACCGTTTGCATGTTTCGCGTATAAATGTTCGCTCATGCCTTCGCTCACATTTTGTACTCGTTTGACACCTTAGTGCAATTCTCGCTACTTCGATCCATTGCACTTATAACAAGTTGCATGATCACACAGGAAACAGAAAGACTACATTTATCATCTTCCTTGTCCTAGAAGTTTCCAACATTAGAATGGAACACAAGTTAGTGCAAGAAGTGCTCAATCTTTGTATGGATTGCAACCGATTTGTGGAACAAGAGGATTTATGTTTGTTGCCAGGAAATGGTACATGGCACTTGCGTCTCCAGCAGCAAGGCGCACAACAAGCAACTCATCCTGCATCACAATGGAAGGTGAAGTAGGATACATAGACAGAACAGTTACATTTCCGGGAGAAAGAAACGAACACGTGACTGCGTACACGAATATGCAGCACAATAGATCAGGAAAGAGCAACACATTGTAAGCACTCTGTAACATGCACCAACATGAATACTCACATGTCCCATATCAGACGAACAACCCCACACTGTGCTCTCCGCACCACCAGATAACCCAGCAGACGGGGCAGAGGTGGCAGAAGGGGAAGGCGAGGAAGCAGAGGAGGAATAACCCCTGCTGCTCCTCCTTGGGTTGAACGCTGCAGCTGCTGCCTGCGCCACTGCTGCCTTTAGGTGGGCCCTCACTGCCTCTGTGCGTGGACTGGATTGGGAGAGCAGGGTGGGGAGAGATGAAGTGGGGAGGGGAAGGGCAGTGCGAGGTGGTGGGAGGAGGGGCAGGAGAAGCAGACGGGGGGTAGCCCCTGCTGCTTCTTCTTGGGTTGAACGCTGCAGCTGCTGCCTGCGCGACTGCTGCCTTTAGGTGGGCACTCATTGCCTCTGTGCGTGGACTGGATTCAGGGGAAGAGAGGGAGGGGCGAGGGGAAGGATGGTATGGGTGGTGAGAGATGAGACAAGTAAATGAAAGGACCGTGCGACGCACTCAATCTGCGGCAATAAGTGAAATATAGTAACAACCCATTATATCGAGGGTGACCTAGCACTCACCCCAGGACAATAATGGTGGTGAGCACATGGATGCCCTCCAGCTGCTGTCCAGGTGGCACCACCGCATTGGCTGACAGCTTCACCTGCACCATTGCAATTGGATGCATGGAGAAGAACAAGCAGACTGTATGTATACATAGAAACACCGATGTGCCAAATATGACTGCTTTGTGAAGTTAGCTTTGAAACAACAGATAGAAAAAATCAGGAGACAATCATTTAAAAAGGGCAGTCAATGAAAGCATGAAACGAAACTAACCTTGTCGAAGACGAGAGGGATCTCCTCTCCTTCCCGATAGACGCGGTTACAACTCTCGTAACACTCCATCTCCCACACTTCTCCTCGATCCCGGCGCCCACTCGTCAGCCAGTCGACCAATACGAGGCTGCCACCTGGCGCCACGTGGATGCTCTGCAGCTGCTGGTACTGCGACGCTCGGAAGCATGTGATTGGCTCAGGGAGCACCGCCAGCAAGGCGCCAGGCTGGATGGTTGCGGTGATGAGCTGGCGGGCTGGTGGGGTGCCTGAGAGAGCAGGAGACGGGAAGGGATAAATAGCAGGAGAGAGAGGGGGAGAGAGTGAGGGGCAGCAGAAGGATGAGGGAAAAGGAGATGGAAGAAACGTCAGTGGGAGTGGAATAATCGTCAGTGATAGGTTGGCAGAATGCTGTCACCCGGCATGGAGTGGAAGATCTTGGCGATGCCTGAGAGGGGAATTGCGAGTCGACTCCGAAATCATATAAAAAGTCGCCTAGTCAGCTTGGTTCACTGCACTCAGCTTTGGCAGGCTGCACTGCGCTCACCTGGCATGGAGTGGAAGATCTTGGTAGATGCCTGGGAGGCGAACACGGCCGTGGCACCGCACTGCACCGCACAGGAGAGCGTCACCTTGTCCCCTGCCACTATGCCGCCCCCATAGGTGATTATGTACGCCCACACTGCATCCACCCCCGAGGCCGCAACCTAAAAGGAGAGGAGAGATGGTGGGGGAGAAGCGGCAGCGGGAGAGGAGAGAGAGGGGCACGGCAGGGGAGACAGCGTGTGCTGTATTGCATTGCCACTATGCCGCCCCCATACGTGATTATGTACGCCCACACTGTGTCCACCCCTGAGGCCGCGACCTAAAAGGAGAGGATAGATGGTGGGGGAAGCGGCAGCGGGTGAGGAGAGAGAGGGGCACGGCAGGGGAGACAGCGTGTGCTGTATTGCATTGCCACTAGGCCGCCCCCATAGGTGATTATGTACGCTCACACTGCGTCCACCCCTGCGGCAGCGACCTGGATAAATGGAAGAGAGGGTGAGGGAGGAGGGATAGGAGAGGGAAGCGTCAGGGGAGACAGTGTGCAGTACAATGGAAGGATTATTCCACTATTCCACCCCGGTAGGTGATTATGTACGCCCACACTGCATCCATCCAAGAGGTAGCCGCCTGGAAGGAGGGAGGGAAGGGAGGGAAGAAGGGAGGAGAAGGTGAGGGCAGAGGGGAGATGGGAGGAAAGGAAGAGGCATACATGTGTCCGCTGCCACTATGCCACCCCCAGAGGTGATGATGTATGCCCATACTGCATCCACCCCAGAGGCCGCGACCTAGACGGAAAAGAGAGACGGCGGGGGAGGGGAAAGACAGATATTTCAGACAGAAGCTTCAAATCTATGCATGCCACAGCGCATCAGACACTTGCAAACATCAGACACAGGCATGGCTCGCTTTGGTCATGAGTACATAGGGAGCCATGCCTCCACGCACCTTGGAGGGCACCATGATCTTGAGTGGGTAGCGACAGAAGCTCCTCGTTGCCGTGCTGCGGCCCCCCACCAGCTCCACTACCAGCACTCCAGTCCAATCCATGCCGCCCCGCCGCACACCCGCGCCCGCAGCTGTAGCTGCTGTTGCTGCCACAGCCGCTGCTTCTGCCCCACCCACGTAAGCACTACTATGAACAGAGCTACTTTCACTCACTGCACCTGCCTCTTGCTCTGCTTCTCTCTCTGCGTCTGCCCCACCCACGTAAGAACTACTATGAACAGAGCTACTTTCACGCACTGCACCTGCCTCTTGCCCTGCTTCTCTCTCTGCTTCTCCACCTGCTCGTCTCTCTGATTGTATCTCCGTTCCGCTTCCAATTCCCCCCCCGCCTCCTTGTGCCTGTCCCTTCCCCCCAGAATGTGCGTCCTCCATCTCGCCCCTCTCTTCCACACCCGATTAACTGTTCACGACACTCCCAAGGACACTTGATCACGACCTGCTCAACAAAGTCAACGCTGGTCAACGTTGGTCAACGCTGTTCAATCAAGAGAGGAAGAGTCTGCTGGTGAGCGCTGCATGCCCCGCCTGGATAATCTCCACCATGGGACCCACCTGACATGCCGCATCCATGCATAGCGGCATGGGGTCGTTTCTCGGTCCTCCCACATCCCCACCACCACCCCCTCCGCTCCCATATCTTTGACCCCCATCCTCTCCTCCCACTTCAGCCACTATCCTCTCAGCATCCCTCACCATCTCCCTCTGCATCCCCGCAGCCTGCAGCGGCCCAATCAGGTTGAGCCGCGTGGCAGCAGACAGGCAGTCCCTGAGGGCGCAGTAGACGAGGCCTCGCAGGGCGGAGGGTAGGGGGATGGAGAGACACCCGCAGAGGGCACCAAAGATCACCGCGTGATGGCCGTATGCGCGAGGAGATGAGGTGTTTTGACTTGGTTGACTGGGTTGACCCTGCTGACGTGTCCTCATGCGATAGGTCGAGAGCAGGGGAGAGGCTTCAGGGAAGACAGTCGAGGCGACCCTAAGCAAGGCTGAGCCCTGAGAGAGGGAGACCTGGGTTGGTGGGGCATGGGAGCAGGGGGTGGGAAGGGGTTGGCAGCAGACAGGCAGTCCCTGAGAGCACAGAGACAAGGCCTCTCAGGGCGGGGGGCAGAGGGATGGAGAGACACCCGCAGAGGGCTCCGAAGATCACCGCGTGGTGGCCGTAGGCACGAGGAGATGAGGTATTTTTCCCCCGTTGACTGGGTTGACTTGGTTGACCGTGCTGACGTTTGCGTGAGCGATAGGTCGAGAGCAAGGGATAGGCTTCGGGAAAGACTGTGGAGGCGACTCTAAGCAAGGCCGAGCCCTGAGAGAGGGAGACCTGGTATGATGGGAAGGGTGGTGAGGAGTAGGAGCAGAGCAACGCGGATGGGAGCAGGGAAGGGATTGGGATGCAGGTCAGTCACATGAGAGCGGGGCCTGTGAGAGCGAGGCTGTGAGAGGGAGACCAGGGGTGATAAGGCACTCGGTGGAGGGGCATAGGGGCAATATACTGGGGCACGACAGCAGGGTGGGAGAAGCAGAGAGTGGGAGCATGGGGGCGTGGGAGTAAGGGAGCATGGGAGTAAGGGAGATTGGGAATGTGAGAGCAGAGGAGGCAGCACAGTAAGAGTGAGAGCAGGGAGGGCCTGTCCTGCAATAACCAGCCCCGTACCTTAAGTGCCACGTCATACCATAATCACCCCCCATAGTCACCGCATCCCCCCATACGATCATACCTTCCGTGCCACGTCATTCGCCAGCATGGCGTTTAGACAGCTGTCGGCCGCTGCCAGCGCGTCACCAAACGCGCCACGTGCCACGTGTCGCTCCACTATTGGCTGAAGAACCGGCTCTTCAAATAAAAAAGCGGCGCTATCACCAGCGCTTGACCAGTTAGAACCAGCTCCTGCTCTCACTACTCCTGCTACTCCTGCCGCTGCTGCCCCTGATGCCGTTCCTCCTGCTGTTCCAGCTCCTATTCCTGCTGCCATTGTCCCTGGCACTGCTATGTCCGCAGGAGCAGCTCCTGCTGGTGCTGCCACTGCAGCTGCTGCAGCACTCCCACAAGCCGAGGCATTGATGCTCGCACTCGCAATCCCATGAGCCGTGGCAACAAAGGGTAGCAGCAGAGCAGCATTGGCATGCACAGCCGTGAGCACAAACACACGCAGCGACGCCACCATGTCACTCCTCTCCTCGCCGCTGCCACCTCCCCTTCTCCCTGCACCACTATTCCCCCCACTTACGGCCCCACTAGCTCCGCCTGCCCCACCTGCCCCTCCCCCTGCCCCACCTGTCCCGCCCCCTGCCCCCCCTGCCCCTCTGCCTGCACCTCTCCCCGCGCCAGCAAGGAAGCCTGCTCTTGCTGCTGCCTCCAGCCCCAGCGAGTGGGCGAAGCCGCCAGCAGGCAGCAGCGAGTCCAGCAGCTGCCACACCGCCCAGTCAGTGGGGAGGGGCGGAGGGGTTTGGTGATGCTCCTTCTTGTCCTCCTCCCCTTGGCACTCCATGCTGCTCGTTTCCTGACCTGCCTCCTTGGATACCTCACCCAGTAGCGACGCTTGGGTGATGCTCCCTCTTCTTCTGCTGCGTCTCCGGCTGCTCTTGACCTTTCGCCAGCTGCTCTTGAGGATCTATCTAGTAACTTCCCTCTCCCAATTTACCCTCTCTTGTTCTACAAAGCGAGAAAAAAGTGAAGTACTAGCCAACAACAGCTACCCTCCTGCTTTCTTGCTACCCTCAGTGTTTCAGTCTCTGAAAATTACCAAATATTCCCCTTAATTCTTATTCATACCACCCCGCCTTACTCCTCTATTTCTTCCCCCTTCCCACCCACGGCCCCACCCCCTACCCTCTTAAAACAGAAAATAGCTCTGAGCCAGTGGCAGCTCGCCAGCTGGCTGACACGTCAGCGGCGCCCCGTCAGCGGTGACCTGGTAGGTCTCAGGGTCCACGTGGATGGCTGGGAGGGCGCCGTTGTGGATCATATCCTCCTTGCAGAGGTTGCGACAGTTGTGCACGGGGGTTAGGGTCTTGGTGAGACCGAGATTGGCTGCTGAGCCTGACTCGTGGCACAGCTGGTAGCACAGGGTGGGTGGGGGGAAGAGGAAGGAGAAAATGAGAAGGGGAATCTGAGGGAGGAAGATAGGGAGGGCGCCATTGTGAATCATATCGTCCTTGCGGCAGGGACAAGGTTGCGCAGTTGTATACCGGGGTCAATGTCTTGGAAAGGCAAAGACTAGCTGCTGAGCCTGACTCCCCAACCCTCCACCCTCCCATCCCCCCACCCCTCCACCACCCCACCACCCCACCACCCCTCCCCCCCTCCCCCCCTCCACCCCCCCACTAATAGGTGGGACCTGATAGGTAGGACTGATAGGTGGGACTGATAGGTGGTGGGACTGATAGGTGGGACCTGATAGGTAGGACTGATAGGTGGGACTGATAGGTGGTGGGACTGATAGGTGGGACTGATAGGTGGTGTGACTGATAGGTGGGACTGATAGGTAGGACTGATAGGTGGTGGGACTGATAGGTGGGACTGATATGTAGGACTGATAGGTGGGACTGATAGGTGGGACTGATAGGTGGGACTGATAGGTGGGGCTGATAGGTGGGACTGATAGGTGGGACTGATAGGTGGGTGGGACTGATAGGTGGGACTGATAGGTAGGACTGATAGGTGGTGGGACTGATAGGTGGTGGGACTGATAGGTGGGACTGATAGGTGGTGGGACTGATAGGTGGGACTGATAGGTGGGACTGATAGGTGGTGGGACTGAAAGGTGGGACTGATAGGTGGGACTGATAGGTGGGACTGATAGGTGGGACTGATAGGTGGGACTGATAGGTGGGACTGATAGGTGGGACTGATAGGTGGGACTGATAGGTGGGACTGATCCTTACCCCTCCACCCCTCCACCCCACCACCCCTCCACCCCTCCACCCCTCCACCCCTCCACCCTCCTCCCCTCCACCCCTCCACCCCTCCACCCCTCCACCCCACCCCCCCAACAACTCACCTGGCTGACGAACGCCAAGCAGCGCCCACCCACTGCCTTGCCGCTTGCTGCAAACTGTGGTCGCATGATGACCTGGTGGAGGGGATATGGGGCGTTGGGGGGGTGCAGTGGGAAGTGGGGAGGGGAGAAGTGTGAAAGTGAATTGGGGTGATTCTTGCGTTGACTCACTACCTGCCTTGCTGCTTGCTGCAAACTGCGGTCGCATGATGGCATGAGGGAGTTGAGGTGGGGGAGTGGAATGTGGGGAGGTGGTACGAGGGGGAGGAAAGGCGTGGCCGTGTGGGGGAGGTGGGGTGTGGGGGAAGAGAGGCAGGTGGGATGAGGGGGAGGAGCGGTGCGATGAGGGGGACATGAGCGACATGGGGAATCAGCGTGATGACCGTGGGTGAGGTATTGTGATAACCGTGGGTGAGGTACAATGAGAGCTGATGGAAGAACTTAAGAACTTACAGATGATTTTCGAGTCACCTAGAAAACGGCGGCAGTGAGTGTAATGCATCTCTGGAGTTGGGATGCTGGCATTGGCATCGCCCATCTGCGTCAATGCTTCTTCTCCTCCCTTCACCAAAATTTCCGGCTTCCATGTGTGATTTGAGTAGATGAGTTGACTCAAAATACATTGGCACTGAGTGAAGATATTTGCAGCGAATTACTCACCGGTTCAGGCGTGGGAATGCTGGCATTGGCATCGCCCATCTCCGTCAATGCAATCGCTCCTCCCTTCACCACAATCTCCGGCTTTCACATGTATTTTGATGAGTCGACTCAAAATACATTGGCAGTGAGTGTGTTCATAACCTCATTTCATACTCACCGGCTCCGGAGTGGGAATGCTGGCATTGGCATCACCCATCTGCGCCCACGCGATCGCGCCGCCCTTCACCACGATCTCCGGCTTCGCGCCAAAGAACGCCGGCCGCCACAGCACCAGATCCGCCATCTTCCCCACCTCCACCGACCCCACCACGTGCGAAAACCCGTGCGCGATCGCCGGGTTGATCGTATACTTGGCCACATATCGCTTCACCCGGAAGTTATCATTCGGCGCGGTGCCAAACCCAAACCCCTCAGAATCTTTATCCTCGTTAAGAGGTCCCCGCTGGACCTTCATCTTGTGCGCGGTTTGCCAGGTGCGTGTGATGACCTCGCCTATGCGACCCATGGCTTGGGAATCGGATGACATCATGCTGATTGCCCCCATGTCGTGGAGTATGTCCTCTGCTGCGATGGTCTCCGCCCGGATTCGCGACTCGGCAAATGCCACGTCCTCCCTGTTGTTGCTGTCCAGGTGGTGACACACCATCTGGGGGAAGGGGGGGGGGGTTGGAGGGGGGAAAGGGACGAGGGGAAATGAGGGGGAATTGAAGGGGAATGCGGGACTCGGCGAATGCCACGTCCTCCCTGTTGTTGCTGTCCAGGTGGTGACACACCATCTGGGGGAGGGAGCAGAGCACAGGCGTTTTTGAGTCGACTCAAAAGCACCATCTGGGGGAGGGAGCAGAGCACAGGCGTTACGGTACGTCCTCGTTAGAAGTCAAGGCACCCACCAGCATGTCGAGGTGTTCGTCGATGGTGTTGGTGGTGAAGGGGCGAGTGGGGTTGGTGGAGGAGGGCAGTACGTACCTAGGTACTACAGAAGCCTCTCGTTATAGTCGCTGCAAGCACGCATATCAGCATGTCGAGGTGTTCCTAGATGGTGTTGGTGGTGAAGGGGCGGTGGAGGAGGGCGGCATACCCCTATTGATATACTTGTTATGAAGTAACCCACATCCCCGTTATAATAACAAAGTGCATACCAGCATATCCAGATGCTCGTCAACGGTGTTGGTGGTGAAAGGGCGAGTGGGATTGGTGGAAGAAGGCAGCACATTGCTCTCCCCACAGATGCTGATGATGTCCGGTGCATGCCCGCCCCCTGCTCCCTCACTGCAGTGGATAGGCAAACGCAGCAGAATGGGAGGGAGGAAGGAAGGCTGAGGGAAGGAAGGTTGAGGGAAGGAAGGTAGGAGGAGGAGGAGGAGGGAGGTAAGCTACACACGTTCCTCTCCCCACAGATGCGGATGATGTTGGGTGCATGCCCGCCCCCTGCTCCCTCACTGCGAGGTAGAGGCAGCCCAAAGGGAGAGAAGATATAAAGGAAAGAGTGTTGAAGAAGATAAAGGCCAGAATGTCAAACTGTCCCACTCCCCCCTCCCCCTCTCTCCCACCCCATCCCTCCTCACCTGTGGTAGGTATGAATGGTGCGGTTCTTGAAGGCAGCAATGGTCTGCTCCACACACGCCGACTCGTTGAGAGTGTCCGTGTGAATCGTCACCTGCACGTCATGCTGCTCCGCCACGCCCAGGCAGGTGTCAATGGCTGCAGGCGTGGTGCCCCAGTCCTCGTGGAGTTTCAACCCAATTGCTCCCGCTTTGATGATGTCCAAGAGGCCCTCGGGGCTGGACGTATTGCCCTGGGGTGGTGGGAAAGGGGAGGGAGAGGTGCGGTTATCGTCGTCACCTGCACGTCATGCTCCTCTGCCACACTCAGGCACGTGTCAATGGCTGCAGGGGTGGTGCCACAGTCCTCATGCAGTTTCAACCCGATGGCTCCCGCTTTAATGATGTCCAAGAGGCCCTCGCGGCTGGACGTGTTGCCCTGAAGGGGTGGGGGAGAGACGAGGCTGATTGATATATGTGTACTGCAGGGGTGGTGCCCCGGTCCTCGTGCAGTTTTAACCCGATGGCTCCCGCTTTGATGATGTCCAAGAGGCCCTCGGGGCTGGACGTGTTGCCCTGAGGAGTGGGGAGAGGGGAACAGGTGTTGGCATAGAAAACAAGTCTCTCTACACACACATCATACTCCTCTGCCACGCCCAGGCCCGTGTCAATGGCTGCGGCGGGGGTGGTACCCCAATCCCCAATCCTTCTTTGCCCCAGCTTCAACCCGATTGCTCCCGCTTTGATGATGTCTGTCATACCCTCAGGGCTAGATGTGTTACCCTCAGGGCTAGATGTGTTACCCTCAGGGCTAGATGTGTTACCCTGCAGAGTGAGGAAAAAGGAGCGGGTGTCGAGGAGGAGGCTTGAAGTTCTCTTCACACACACAGAGACAACCCCCCTCACCCACACCCATCCCCACTCACAGACACACGCTCACTCACACTGATACAATCACTCGCCTTATATGATATAAAAAACCCAATCAACCTGAAGTTGAGGCATGAGTTCTGTGGCTTGCAGCATAAGCGCCATGGCATCAGGTGATCCTGCATTCTTACACTCACAGACACACCCATACACCTGCATGCAAAGCCACACACAGACACTCACTCACGCCCATATAACCACCCACCTTCCCTGTGAACCCAAAGTTGAGAGGCATATTATCCGTAGCTTGCAGCATGAGGCGCCTACACACCCTTCCACCGTACCACACCGATAGGTAACCATCACCACCCATTTTCCACAGCAGCACTTACCTTCCCTGTGAACCCAAAGTTGAGCGGCATATTATCCGTAGCTTGCAGCATGAGTCCCATGGCGTTGGGGGATGGCGTGCATGTGGTGGCTAGCGTGCCATGTGCCGGACCCGTGCCTCCTCCCACTAGCGTCGTCAGACCTGCAGGCAGGCACGGGTAGGAAGAGGTGATAGCATGAGCGCCATGGCATTGGGGGATAATGTGCTTGTTGTGGCCAGAGTGCCGTGCGCCGGGCCCGTGCCTCCACCCACCAGTGTCGTCAGACCTGCGCGCACGGGGAGAAAATGGAAACAGGTTGATGGTGGAGAGCGAAAGGCATGGATGGTGGCAGTGGTAGCAATGCAGCTTGAGCGCCATGGCATCGAGAGAGGGATGGTGTGCTTGTTGTGGCTAGTGTGCGGGGTGTTGCCTGCTGAATCACCACTCACCGCTGCAAATGGCCTCATCTGCCAGTTGAGGACAGATGAAGTGCACATGCGTATCAACGGCCTGTCCTCTCCACCACTCAAGCTCACATGGGGATGGCATTGGCTATCTCCATCACTCACACAGCTGTCACATCACCCACCACTCACCGCTGCAAATGGCCTCGTCTGCTAGCTGAGGGCAGATGAAGTGCACATGGGTGTCGATGGCCTGTATTCACCACGGAAGGTGGCCTTATTTGCTCACCAGTTCTCATACAGCTTACAGTTGCTCTCCACAACCCACCACTCACCGCTGCAAATGGCCTCGTCTGCTAGCTGAGGGCAGATGAAGTGCACATGGGTGTCGATGGCCTGTATTCACCACGGAAGGTGGCCTTATTTGCTCACCAGTTCTCATACAGCTTACAGTTGCTCTCCACAACCCACCACTCACCGCTGCAAATGGCCTCGTCTGCTAGCTGAGGGCAGATGAAGTGCACGTGCGTATCGATGCCTCCTGCTGTGAGAATCAGCCCCTCGCCTGCTATCACCTCGGTCGTCACCTGCATGGGGCGCAAGGGATGGCATGAGGGGCATCCCTCATGAGGACAGGCACGAGTGAGACAGAGAAAGTCGATGGGGGCTTTGTTTGTGTTGGGAACATACCAGCCCTCCAACCAGCCCTCACCTCACCCCAACATCTTTTCCCCGTTTGATACTCACCCCCACCACCATGTTCTCATCCACCCCATCCATCACATCAGGGTTGCCGCCCTTGCCGATGCCCACAATGCGTGTGCCCTTGATGCCCACGATGGCCTTGACATGTGGCTGGTGTGCCAGAACGCCAGAATACTCACCCCCACCACCATGTTCTCGTCCACGCCATTCATGACGTCCGGGTTGCCGCCTTTGCCGATGCCCACGATGCGTGTGCCCTTCATGCCCACGTCCGCCTTCACTATGCCCCAGTGATCCACTATAAGCGCATTCGTTATAATCACGTCCAGGGCGTCCTCTGCCTTCACTCCCGTCGCCTGGAAGCAAGGAGAAAACGTGGAAGGGAGAGGAGAGGTGAAGAGAGAAGGGACCTTGAAAGGAGAGGCAAGAGAGGGAAGAGCATAGCCCTCACTGATGGATAGAGCAAGGAGGGAAAGGACATGGGAAGTACAGAGCTCAGGCACTCATGCCCCCCCTGCCCCCTACTTCTCACACACCTCAAACAGCTCCTCCCCCTCCGGCCCCTCCTGCCCCACTCCTCATCAGCCCCAGCACCAGTCCCCCCATCCTCCGTTCCTACCCTGCCCCAGTCCCCCCCTGCCCCGGTGCCCTTCTGCTCCAGGTTTCACCCGTCTCAGGTCTCACCCGCCCCAGGTCTCACCCGCCCCAGGTCTCACCCGCCCCAGGTCTCACCCACCCCAGGTCTCACTCACTGCCCCCACTGCCCCCCCAGTGCCCAGGTCTCACCTGCCCCATGCCTTCTCTCAGCACCTTCCCCCCTCCGAACTTGCACTCATTGCCCAGCACTGTGAAGTCCCCCTCCACCTCCACCACCAGTGCTGTATCTCCCACTCGCACTCTGTCGCCCACCCTCACGCTGTCCCCTACCATGGGACCAAACACACCCACAACCCGCTCTCTTGCTCGTCTCAAGCCCTGCTAGAAACCCACGCACACCCCCCCTCCTACCCTGCCCCAGGTCTCACCTGCCCCATGCCTTCTCTGAGCACCTTCCCCCCTCCGAACTTGCACTCATCGCCCAGCACTGTGAAATCCCCCTCCACCACCAGTGCTGTATCTCCCACTCGCACTCTGTCGCCCACCCACTGTAGGGCCAAACACACCTGCCCTAGGTAGGTTTCACCCACCCCAGGTCTCACCTGCCCCATGCCTTCCCGCAGCACCTTCCCCCCTCCGAACTTGCATTCATCGCCCAGCACAGTGAAGTCCCTCTCCACCTCCACCACCAGCGCCGTGTCTCCCAGCCACCTCACTTTGTCCCCACACACACCCTGCTAGAAAGTCACCCACCCACACTCTGTCTGTGGCCCCTTGCCCCGAATCTCACCTCCCCTGGGTCTCACCTGCCCCATGCCTTCTCGCAGCACCTTCCCCCCTCCGAACTTGCACTCATCGCCCAGCACTGTGAAATCCCTCTCCACCTCCACCACCTGTGTCTCCCACCCGCACTCTCAACCCCCGATTCCTGCCCTGCCCCAGGCCTCACCCGCCCCAGGTCTCACCTGCCCCATGCCTTCACGGAGAACCTTCCCCCCTCCGAACTTGCACTCGTCGCCCAGCACTGTGAAGTCCCTCTCCACCTCCACAACCAGTGCGGTATCTCCCAGCCGCACTCTGTCCCCCACCGTGGGGCCAAACACGTCAGCGTATCGCTCCCTCTCCACTCGCACGGTCAGCGCCTCGTCCTTCCCCACGACCCCCTTCCTGCAAGCACGAGGGACGGAGAGAGGGAGGTGGGTACGACAGGGAGGGAGGAACCGAGAACACTGGGGGAACAAATGCATCCCTGTACCACTCTCACTCCACTCGCACTGTCGGTGCTTCGTCCGTCCCCACAACCCCCATGCTGGGAGAAACCAAGAAACCAAGAAACCCTGTTGGGCCACTCTTGCTCCACTCGCACTGTCAGAGCATTGACAGGTTTAAGGTCAGGTTTAAGGTCAGGTTTGACGTCAGGTTTGACGTCAGGTTTGAGGTCAGGTTTGACGTCAAGTTTGAGGTCAGGTTTGAGGTCAGGTTTGACGTCAGGTTTGACGTCAGGTTTGAGGTCAGGTTTGATGTCAGGTTTGAGGTCAGGTTTGAGGTCAGGTTTGACGTCAGGTTTGACGTCAGGTTTGACGTCAAGTTTGAGGTCAGGTTTGAGGTCAGGTTTGACGTCAGGTTTGACGTCAGGTTTGAGGTCAGGATTGACGTCAGGTTTGAGGTCAGGTTTGAGGTCAGGTTTGACGTCAGGTTTGAGGTCAGGTTTGACGTCAGGTTTGACGTCAGGTTTGACGTCAGGTTTGAGGTCAGGTTTGAGGTCAGGTTTGAGGTCAGGTTTGAGGTCAGGTTTGAGGTCAGGTTTGAGGTCTGGTTTGAGGTCTGGTTTGACGTCAGGTTTGACGTCAGGTTTGGGGTCAGGTTTGAGGTCAGGTTTGACGTCAAGTTTGACGTCAGGTTTGAGGTCAGGTTTGAGGTCAGGTTTGACGTCAGGTTTGAGGTCAGGTTTGAGGTCAGGTTTGAGGTCAGGTTTGAGGTCAGGTTTGAGGTCAGGTTTGACGTCAGGTTTGAGGTCAAGTTTGAGGTCTGGTTTGAGGTCAGGTTTGAGGTCAGGTTTTGAGGTCAGGTTTGACGTCAGGTTTGAGGTCAGGTTTGAGGTCAAGTTTGAGGTCAGGTTTGAGGTCAGGTTTGACGTCAGGTTTGACGTCAGGTTTGAGGTCAGGTTTGAGGTCAGGTTTGACGTCAGGTTTGACGTCAAGTTTGACGTCAGGTTTGACGTCAAGTTTGAGGTCAGGATTGGCGTCAAGTTTGAGGTCAGGTTTGACGTCAGGTTTGAGGTCAGGTTTTGAGGTCAGGTTTGACGTCAGGTTTGAGGTCAGGTTTGACGTCAAGTTTGAGGTCAGGTTTGAGGTCAGGTTTGACGTCAGGTTTGACGTCAGGCTTGAGGTAAGGTTTGAGGTCAGGTTTGACGTCAGGTTTGAGGTCAAGTTTGACGTCAGGGTTGACGTCAAGTTTGAGGTCAGGTTTGGCGTCAAGTTTGAGGTCTGGTTTGACGTCAAGTTTGACGTCAGGTTTGACGTCAGGTTTGAGGTCAGGTTTGACGTTAAGTTTGACGTCAGGTTTGAGGTCAAGTTTGAGGTCAGGTTTGAGGTCAGGTTTGAGGTCAGGTTTGACGTTAAGTTTGACGTCAGGTTTGAGGTCAGGTTTGACGTCAGGTTTGACGTTAAGTTTGACGTCAGGTTTGACGTCAGGTTTGAGGTCAAGTTTGACGTCGGGTTTGACGTCAAGTTTGAGGTCAGGTTTGACGTCAGGTTTGAGGTCAAGTTTGACGTCAGGTTTGACGTAAAGTTTGAGGTCAGGATTGGCGTCAAGTTTGAGGTCAGGTTTGACGTCAGGTTTGAGGTCAGGTTTGAGGTCAGGTTTGAGGTCAGGTTTGAGGTCAGGTTTGACGTCAGGTTTGAGGTCAGGTTTGAGGTCAGGTTTGAGGTCAGGTTTGAGGTCAAGTTTGAGGTCAGGTTTGAGATCAGGTTTGACGTCAAGTTTGAGGTCTGGTTTGACGTCAGGTTTGAGGTCAAGTTTGAGGTCAGGTTTGGCGTCAAGTTTGAGGTCTGGTTTGACGTCAGGTTTGACGTCAGGTTTGACGTCAGGTTTGAGGTCAGGTTTGACGTCAGGTTTGAGGTCAGGTTTGACGTCAGGGTTGAGGTCAGGCTTGACGTCAAGTTTGAGGTCAGGTTTGACGGCAGGTCTGACGTCAGGTTTGACGTCAGGTTTGAGGTCAGGTTTGACGTCAGGTTTGAGGTCAGGTTTGACGGCAGGTCTGACGTCAGGTTTGAGGTCAGGTTTGAGGTCAGGTTTGAGGTCAGGTTTGAGGTCAGGTTTGACGTCAGGTTCGAGGTCAGGTTTGAGGTCAGGTTTGACGTCAGGTTTGATTGAGGTCAGGTTTGACGTCAGGTTTGACGTCAAGTTTGAGGTCAGGTTTGAGGTCAGGTTTGACGTCAAGTTTGACGTCAGGTTTGACGTCAGGTTTGAGGTCAGGTTTGAGGTCAGGTTTGAGGTCAGGTTTGAGGTCAGGTTTGAGGTCAGGTTTGAGGTCAGGTTTGAGGTCTGGTTTGACGTCAAGTTTGAGGTCAGGTTTGAGGTCTGGTTTGACGTCAGGTTTGACGTCTGGTTTGACGTCAAGTTTGAGGTCAGGTTTGACGTCAGGTTTGACGTCTGGTTTGACGTCAAGTTTGAGGTCAGGTTTCAGGTCAGGTTTGAGGTCAGGTTTGAGGTCAGGTTTGACGTCAGGTTTGACGTCAGGTTTGAGGTCAGGTTTGACGTCAAGTTTGAGGTCAGGTTTGACGTCAGGTTTGACGTCAAGTTTGAGGTCAGGTTTGACGTCAGGTTTGACGTCGAATCGAGACAAGGAAAGGAGATTGAGAAATCGAGACCATCCTGTTTCATCTTTATTCTGGGAAAACCTCTAAACTACGAGCAGAAAGAGGAGTGGAGGGACGAGGAGCCTACAGTGCGCTGGGCCCAGCTGCATGTGCACATGTGCAAACCTGGCCGGGTTCCATAGCCACAGCTCTAAAAGCCATGCCATAAGGCTCACTGCCGCCTCTAACTACCAGCACCACTTGCAACACCCCTGGTTGACTCACAGTGCACTGGGCTCTGGCACATGTCCGAATCCCATGGTGACAGCCTTGGCAGCCACCTCGGCCGCCCTGCTCTCGTCCACTGGCCCGCTCGCTATCCCGTTGCCCCCTCGAATCACCCTCTTGCCCCCCATCGCCACCAGCACCACCTGCTTTGTCTCGCCAGGCTGCAGATAGAAGGAGTTGAAAGGGTTGGAAAGAGATAACGGAAAGGAGAGTAAGGGAAGGGTGCTCCAAACCACATGGCAGTATAGCAGCGTTGCCCCCTCGAATCGCCCTCTTGCCCCCCATCGCCACCAGCACCACCTGCTTTGTCTCGCCAGGCTGTCGACGAGAGGGAAGGAAAAGGGAGAGAAGGAGATGGGGGGAATGAGGGAGAGGGCGGAGGTTGGGTCGACTTGGCTTCACCAGGCTCCATAGAGAGAGGCGGAGAAGGAGGGATAGGGAGGAAAGGCGGGAGGGAGGGAGGGTGCGAGACCACCACGGAAGGAGGACTCGCCCCCCATGTGAATATGTGGCCACACATTCACATGGGTGTTCCGTTCCCTATGAGGCGACTCACCTCGAAGCGCACAGCGGTGCCGGGGAGGATGTTGAGGTGGTAACCGTACGCCAGCTGACGGTCGAAGAAGAGCAGTGGATTGGTCTCCACGAAGTGGTAATGGCTGCCCACCTGGAGGCGTTAAGGGTTTAGGGTTTCGGGTTGAGGGTTGAGGGTTTCGGGTTGAGGGTTGAGGGTTTCGGGTTGAGGGTTTCGGGTTGAGGGTTTCGGGTTGAGGGTTTCGGGTTGAGGGTTGAGGGTTGAGGGTTGAGGGTTGAAGGTAGACGGTTGAAGGTTGAAGGTTGAAGGTTGAAGGTTAAGAGTTTATAGATGTAGGGTTGAAAGTTCGAACTTATGGGCAATGAAAGATGGATGAATGAGGAGAGAAACGATATGACATGATATGATACGATACGATAGGATATGACATGACATGACATGACATGACATGACATGACATGATATGATATGATATGATGTGATATGATATGATGTGATGTGATATGATATGATTGGACGTGATACGATACGATGCACATGCACATGCACTTAAGTCCAAGCCCCCTACCTGAATGGGTCTGCCACAGCGGCCGCTGACGCTCAGTCACACGGCCGCCCTGCCAGCGTCGAGCAGCAGCGGGCCTGTCTCTGCCACTATGATCTGCCCCAGTGTGCTGTGCTGATATGATGTGCCGTGCATCATACATGCATGCACCAGCAAGCAAGTCCCTCACCTGAATCGGTCTGTCGCAGCGGCTGCTGACACTCAGCCGCACAGCAGCCCTGCCAGCATTGAGCAGCAGGGGGCCTGTCTCTGCCACTATGATCTGGCCCGGAGCAGCAGAGCCACTCAGAGCACTTGAGGCGACAGGCGTTGCAAAGAGATCAGGCGAGGGCACTGGTGGGGTAGGGGCGAGGAAAGGGTGGGGAGGGACGGAGATGAGAGATGGGAGAAAGGATCAGCCGTGCCAGCATTAAGCAGCAGCGGGCCTGTCCCTGCCACTATGATCTGCCCTGGTGCAGCAGAGCCACTCAGGGCCGTGGTGGTAACAGGCGTGGCGAAGAGGTCCGATGAGGGGACTGGTGGAGAGGGGGGGGGGAGTGGGGAGATGGGATGAAGGAGCAGCCCGGCCAGCATTGGGCAGCAGCGGGCCTGTCCCTGCCACATATGATTTGCCCTGGTGCAGCAGAGACATGGGCACGGGGCACGGGGAGAGGGAGTGGATACCTGGGAGGAAGGAGCCGTGCAGCGCGAGGGAGAGGTCGCCGTCCTCGCGGCTGATGGGGTGATGCACCGTCACCAGCTTGGTGCCATCCGCGAAGGTGCCCTCCACCTGCACCACGTCCAGCAGCACTGGCACCGCTGGCAGCACGTTGCGCCTGGTGTGGGCGGGAAGAGGAGGAGGGGGGGATTGGGCTGATTGGGCTGATGTCTCGGATGAACTCGGGGGGATCTTGGGACCACTGTTGCATTCTCCCCACTCCCTTCCCCCCCCACCCACACCCCACTCGTCCCTCACTCTTCCAACAATCTCTTTCCCACATTCTGCCCCCTTCCCTTCCAGATTCCCATGCATTTTAGTGGAGGACGAACCTTCCCAGAAGCTGCTTGCCGAGGTCCATGAGCTCTGCAACGCTCTTGCCATCTCGGATCAACTCCAGCACCTGCGTGGCGACGGTGGTGAGGGCAGTGGGCGCAGTGAGTGATACAAGACACGACGATGCGTGCTTACAAAAGTAAGGGCTTGAGAGAAGGCGCAGCAAGAGACAGAGTGATACAAGACACGACGATGACGAAAGGATTTCTTCATCGATCCAAATGCCTCTTTTCTATAATGCCGGTATTCTGTGTCCACTAAAACAATGAGCTTCAGCACCTGCGTGGAATAAGGAACCACTGTTGTATTCCCCACCCCACTACCCATCGCGGATGAGCTCCAGCACCTGGGTGGCGATCAGAGCCACCGCCTCGGGGTAGTTGAGCTTCAATCCGCGCGCCAGGCGCTTCTGCGCCAGCGCGCCTGCCGCATGCAGGCGCAGCTTGTCCCCCTCGCGCACGCTCAGCCTCATGGCTGCATCGGGGAGGGGAGGGGGGACGAGGGAGGGAGTGAACAGATGGAAGGGAGGGGTACAGATGCAGGATTTGCCAACCAACCGCTTCTGCGCCAGCGCGCCTGCTGCATGCAGGCGCAGCTTGTCCACCTCGCGCACGCTCAGCCTCATGGCTGGGGGGGAGGGGGACCGGGGTTGGGGGGATGAAGAGAGCAGAGTGGGAGAGGTGGTGGTGAGGGAGGTAAGGGGGGGAGCATATGTGAACGGATGTGAGCGCGCCTATTGCATGCGAAGAAGGTGCGGGAGAGGCTCCCACCCACCTGCTACTGCTGGGCCGCCTGAGACGCCTCTTCGAGATCTGATTCCACTCAGAAGTGGGAAGCGACAAGCAATGCCACCCTCGCGCCGCTGCTGAACCCGACTAGGCAGTTCCAACCGCCAACTGCAAGGTTCGAACTCCGACCTCCTGTTTCCGAAAAGGATCTTCTCGCGACGAGACGGCTGCTGGTTCCAAGAAGCTTGCTCGAGGAACTGGCAGCGGCGACGGTAGGCTGTGGAAAGACGAGCTCGTTTAGCGCTGTCCTGTACACCGCTTTTGCACTCGCTATACGCTTCTTCGCTATGCCTGAGCTGCGCGGCGCGAGACGCGGGTCGGAGCGGGATAAGCGCCAGTGACGCGATTGATCAGACGCCTTAGACTGACCAAGCTTTGTCGGTCTCCCGCCGCACTTTAAGGCCCGCGCGCGGAAGATTTTGCGCCTAGGCGCAGGAATCGTGAGGACCGTTGCGTATGTTGGCTTAATGAAGTACGCTTCCAACTGAGACGGAGACGGAGACGGAGACGTTGACGGTGACGGAAACGGAGACTGAGAAGAAGGATCTGGAGAGAGAGGTGGGGAAAGAACGGAGGAGGCGGAGGCGAGAGGCGAGGAGACGTGGATGAGGGGAGGAGCACCGGTGAACGTGATACCAGGGAGAGTGACTGTAGCGACGATTGGTGACAATGGGGTGAGTCCGAGTCGCAGAGAAAGCACGCGATGAGAGGGGGTGGAGGATGTAGCTGACGGAATGAGACTATCAGACGCAGGGGATTTCGGAATGTCGGAGCTAGTACTAGTAAAGATTTGACTGTGCACTGGATTCTGAGCCGTGATCTGCGGGAGTGACGTGGAATTCGAGTGACACGTGGGCACTGATGGTGCAGTCCACCTGGGAAGAGGCGGGAAATGCTGGAGGTTTTGCAGCGACGGTGGTCGAGAAGGAATCGGAAAAGCGGCGAGCAGAGGCATGAACGGCGCGTGTAAGTTCAACGCATGAGCTGCGCAGCTGATCTAACGGAGTGGATTCAGGAAGCTCGGTCAGCCACGGAACAGGAACCTTTCAAATGCAGGGCCAATAAGAATTAGGAGATGCGGTATCTGAACTGAGAATAGCTCGAATGCCTGGAATGCGTTTTAGTTCAAGCAATAGAGCAGAGCTGATTGAGAACGACCACTTGAATGGCGACAACTGTCAAGGAGATGGAGCACATTTATCCATATTAACCGTATTGTACTGCATGAATGCCTACTTAACCATACTGGACAATCAGCAAACCGATAAAAGAATCCGGAAGGCGCGAAAGAGGGAGCGGCTGGTCTGCTGCTTGCGTTGCGTGCCGAAAGGGCTGCGCGCGAGTGCCGAGGGAAGAATAGGATTGTCATCTCCACGTGGCTAAAATATCTGCCAATGGGAAAGCTTTCACGTGGTCCCTCTTGTCACCATTTTCTCACCCCAGGACTTTGATGATAATCTTACATAATTATGAATGGTGAAGTGTACTTAGCAGCTGAACCTTATCTGCAATCGTTTCTCCACATTGGAACAACATCACATTTCACAGCAGTGTTAAAATAAACGAATTGAAAGATTTTTTTTCCAGATATAAAATTTCAGTGATGATTTGAAGCTATCGCTAATCTTGCCAATCATTCATCTACACAAGAATAGCATATCAACCTTATATATCAAGTGTTATTGTATATTTGCAGTACTCGCGGTCTTGTTTGATTGCGCGAGGAGCACACAGGTCGGGTTCCCCGCAATCGCCGAACCAGCAGCAAACCGACGTTTTCGCAGCTTCCTGCGGACAGAGTTTTTCGCCAGCCGCCGAACCGTGTCGGTGAGGAAACGACTCGCTCGCGACAAAGCCGCATCATCGCCTCACTATGTTTCCCCTATCAGCGAGCTCAGAGAAGATCCACGATAAGTACTTGCGAAACCGTGCGAAGCTCTCAGCAGCAGAACTCATCTCCCTCCCACCCAAACCTTCAACATCTCAAGGAAACTCTGCTGCCAGCCATCGTGATTGTTGAGAAATTTCTGTGCGGTGCAGTGCGGCATAGCCTGGACTCTCGTCCGTAGCAAAACTCGTTTGTTGATTGAAACCTGTGGTCTTGGAAGTTTGAGGGCGAAGGCATTGTCTGGTTGGTCAGTGGCTTCTACCGCCTGACAGCCAGCATTGAGGAAACCGAGGCTCCTCGACACGCGCCTGTCATGGATCGTGCGCGCATGGCCCCGCTCCTCCTCCTCCTACTGCTGCCCTTCGCAGCAGCCGCCGCCCCTACCGCTGCCCCCACGGGGAAGTCCCCCCCCGCAGCCGCAAAAGCGCCCGCGCCCGCTCCGCCGGTAACTCCGCCGAAAACCCTCCCCGCGTGCCCGCTCACGGGGAAGCCGGCGACTAAGCCGACAATTCCGCACTCGCGCTGCGTCGAGGCGCAGCAGCTGTCGTGCTGCAAGGACTGCGAGGATCTTACGTTCCCGATACAAGCGCTCGCGGTTAATGTTACTGCTGCCTTGGAGCCGGTGTCGCAGGGATTTCTTGATATGACGAAAGTTTCGCCAGATGTAGGTGGTACTAGCTTGGGTGCTAGTGGTGCTGGGGTGGGTGATAATGGTACTCGCATTGGTGTTAATGCAGCTCGCGAGATGATTGGTCTGCGCGTAATGTGTGTCCTATTCGCAACGCGATTCCTCTTCGCGCTTCTTTTACGGCGAATGCCACGCATTGCTTTTTTTTTTTTTTTCTGGAGAATTCTCGAAGACCGTTCCGAGCCTGTAATATTATTCACCTTTTAATCTCTCCCGTTCCCCGCTTCCCGCTACTGTTCCATTGCTTGCTGGTTTCGAACCAACCGCTTATCGCGTATTTTCCCCCCTCCGCGCGCAGGTGTGCAAACTGTTTCAGGGTCTCGAGGAGTGCGAGCAGCTGGTCGAGCAACTTGTGTGCGCCGTCACGTGTAACCCAGGTGAGCTTCTCTGTTCGCGAATGAGTCGCGATTGTATTTCAAACAAGGAATGTCGCACACTTGTCGCGAAATATTTGAGCATCGCCCTACCCGTTTTACTCTACCGGATCGTGCTTGGCTATGCGAGGCATTCATACCAAGGAGCGACTTTTTCCTTCGTAATGTACACTATTTTCAATAATGGCATGTATGTTCTTTAATTTGGTTTTACCTCCCTGCAGATTCCGGGTATTATTTCATTGACACGCCCACGGGTCCCTACATGCAAGTGTGCACGGCCTTCGCACAGCAGGTGTACGACAAGTGCTCCCCACTTAAGAGTGAGTGCTTTGATGCCTTGCAATGCAATGCAAATAATATTTCTTTTTTCAATAATAGGTACTGTTGGTTCGTTATGCTTTCTGGTCTGCTTGATACCACTCTCTCCGTTATTCAATATTCTACATCTCCACCCTGCGTGTGATGAGTCGATTTTTCAGTCGTCCCAAAATTCTTCTCCACCCTGCTGCTGCTCTCACTCTTCCAGCAACAAATAGCTTTCCCTTTTTTGTTCCCCTTGGTCTTTTCATCTTCTGCTTTTGCTTGCTCTTTTAAACCCTCTCGTTTCTGCTGCAGTTGGTGGACTTTCACTGGACGCGCTAATCTACACCGCCGAGGATCTTATCAAGCAAGCCATCGTCCCCCTTGTTGCAAAAGCCGTTCCAGGCTTCACTGCTGGAGTCAGTGTGAGTACCCTGCGGCCTGTAGTACAATGCATTTTTCTATTCAATTTCACGAGTGAAAAAGTTGATCCGTATGTATCAGTAACGAGGCGCCCATAACAGTAACCAGGCTTCCATGTGCAAAATTGTACTGTGTATGAGTAGCCTTGTGGGTGCTTTCCAGCTCCTCACCTTTTTTTCTGGAGACGTGGATTGCTTTAAACCCATAAGAAAAGCTCCAACCTTGTTGCTGCTTACCAATACCTCCTGTTTACCCCCTCCCCCCCTTCCTCTACCCTCTACTCTTCTTCCCCCCTTTCCTCGTCACAGGACGTGGGTTGCTATGGCGGTCCCCAGGTCCTCCCCGCCACCCCCTTCTGCTGCGACCCTCTCACCGTCCCCAAAACCTGCCCTGCTGGTTCGGTAAACACCACCGGAGCAGAGAAGATCCCGGGCCGGAAACCCGATGCGAAGATCTGCGCCAAGTTCCCTTACAAGCCCGGAACCACCCCCTACAAGCGCCCCCCCCTGCCCCCAACTGCCTACGACAAGCCTACCCTCCCGAAGCCTCCGTTGGCTCCGTCCTCCGCACCTGCACCAGCGCCAGGCTCGGACGCTTCTCCAGGCTCGGCAATGGCGCCGTCGTCCGGAGGTACTGTTGATGGGGGGTCTTCCCCTCCTACTGCGCCCCCACCAGCTCCCCCCACTACCCCGTCCTCCCCCTCCACCCCGTCCTCCCCCTCCACCCCGTCCTCCCCCTCCACCCCGTCCTCCTCCTCTACCCCGTCCTCTCCTCCTCCACCCCCTAAGGGCTCCGGGAGTATAGCTGCCTCTGTGGTGGTGACTCTGGGTGGTGCTGTGCTCGCTGCTCTGCTCTGATGGAGCAGAAGGTGACATTTTCTAGGTCACGTTGTTACCTGGATGGATTGATGTCAGAGGAAGGGCTTATTCTTTTACCGGGTTGTTTTGTACGGTTGACTCTGACGACAATTGACAGCTTTGGCCTGTACTTCAGGCCACCATAGCTCACAGGAAGGTAACCCAGTAGAAGCAGCACAACTATTGGACAGAAGCAAATTCTCCGACAGAGCTGCCACTGCCTGTGGTGTATTCATGAGGCGTCCCTAGTTAACTGATTCCTATGTATTTCACCTAGTGGTACCAATCATTTCACACTTCACCACTGCATCGCGCAGCTGGCTGAGTGCGTGTGACACTAGTACCACCAATTCATTGAATGATACCGTAGTTAAGGAATACCGGGTGCGGACAGGAGAGAAGAGCGCCTTGTTTTGTTCCAAACCAAACTACAGAATTTGTTACAATCCCAAGTGGGACTTAGCGAAGGATCGCTCAGGGTTGATCGCAGAGTAGTGTTGCAGCGGAAGTTTTTGAATCTCAGGTCAGAGTGAATGAAAATGACTGAGTTGATAATAGCATGCATACATCGAGTTTATATAAGAATACAAGGGAATACGAAAAGACCTAGACTAGCCATGTACTCTAAGGGGTACATTCCCTTATTGCAGCGAATTCAAACAGTGCGGCGCGGGAACCCGTTTTGAACCTGTTCCCGCCTTTTTCATTTCGAATGTTTCTGCCTGCACTGGTCTTGATCTGACGCAGGGCCTCAGTTATCAGGATAATTTATCCTGATTCTCCTGAATTCAGGATAGGTGTCGTGTGCTAGTCCTGGAAAAACAGCATAACAGGAATAATTGTCCTGCAATTTCAGTATAACGGTTATTTTGCGTACTGAAAACTCAGGATAAGGCTGTAGGTTCAGCTCTGATGAGTCAGGATAGTGTCGAATCTCGCTCTGAGGCGAGATGTACTGTAAGAAAAATCTCCTGGGTCTTGGGGCCTAAAATAAGAACAGGCGAGCACCTCCACATGGGAGCTAGCGGAAATCGAGCAGGAGACCTTTAACGTATCGCACTGTCACTTAACCCGCCACGACACTTCACCTATCGCTAGTTGTGGCACAAAAAATATATGGATACTACTAAATGTAGCACTGGCATTTCAGGATACCTCACCCTGTGCAGCCCTGCCAATTCAGGGCAAATTCTGATTTCCTAAAAACTGCCCTGAGGCCTCAGTGTACCCCCAAACGAATCTGAGGCCCTGATCTGACGGTTGCTTGCGTCGCTTCGACTCTTCTGACTCTTCGACTTCGTACTCGGTAGAGTCGGCTCCTGCAGCATACAGGAATGCCTACTCATAAAACTTCATATCGTACCGTCATCGCCCGGATATAAGACATATATGTCTTATCTCGTACACGGGCAAAAATGCTTGATGTATCTTGTAAACGGGATGGTTTAGGGTGTCTTATAATTCTTATAAATGGAAAAAAAATTAAGTTGACTGTAACACTTGCAAAGTGTGTAGAAAACACCCAGGGACCAGATTCATTGAAACAGGCCGACCTCGATGGTGATGCATGCACCGCCCACACTTGCCACGTGAGGGATGCAGCAAAGCTGCCACCGCTGGCAAGATTCCTCTGTGCTGGCAGCATCTAATGATGCTGCCAGCGTCGTTTTGCTGCCAGCAGCGCATGGCAGCTTCCAGAAGGCTGCTGGCAGCACGTTGGCAGCAGCAGGGCTGTCCTCTACGAGGAGATGCCTCGTAGAGGAGCGGCTCGGCACCTGTGGATGGGGCACTCTGGCTGGGGGGGGTAGTCGGGCTTTCACTTCATTTGGTGCTCATGGAGGTTGAATTCTCACCTCAACCTTGCTCTCGGCAGGCTCTCTAACCATGCGCAGCAAGGTACCCCTAGGCAAGTCCTCACTTCGTCCTCACGTGCAGGTGAATAACTACGGGCGAATTAACTCGCCCGGCGATGACATCCGCGTAGCCATGGTGAAGAACGCGAGCAAGGCGGGAAGTCCTACCGCCGCCTCCGGTGCGAGCTGTGACGCGGACGACGGAGGCGAAGCACAAGGCGACGACGCGGAGGAGGATTGGCCGGAGAACGGCCACGATGACAGCGCTTCGGGCGACGAATTAGGTCCTGCCGAAATTGAGGAGGACGAATGGTGGAATCAGCCGGTCGGGAGCGACGACGAGGTTGAAGAGTGGCGGGCTGGCGATTCCGACAACGACGGAGGTGAAGATGCTGGCGGTGACCACGCGGTGGCGCAGGAAGCGGCGGTGGCTGCCGACGAGGCGGAGGCGGAACGCGAGACAGAGGCGCCTGCGGATGCGGACGCGGTGGCGGAGGCGGACAAGGTGGCTGCGGATGCCGTCTTATTTGACGGCGAGGGCACCGACGACGACCCGTGGAGCCTTGGGACAGACGACGACGTGCCGTTACTGAAGCGGAGGCTGCGCCATCGCCTGCAGTCCACGACGAAGCGCGCCCGCGTGGTGCTTTCTGACGACGACAGTGCCGGGGAGGAGCGTCGCCCCCTACTCACCGCTGCGGAGAAAGGAAAGGCAAAGGTCGTGGAAGCCCCTGCTAAGTCCCCTGCTAAGGCCCCTGCAAAGGCCCCTGCTCGTCGCCGCACAAGCAACAAGAAGCGCAAGGACGACGGTGACCCTGGATCCAGCAAGGGTGCGGCTAGGAAAAAGGCGAAGAAGGCGCCGAATCCTGACGACATCATCGTCAACGAGGCGTTGGGCAGCGACGATGAGTACGCGGCGGCGGCGGGCCCGATTCCCACGTTCCCTGAAAAGGAGGCGCCGAAGGACCCCACCCTCTCTAATCCCAACACCCGCCCACCTTCCCCTCGCAGCAAAGACACCACGAAGAAGCGTCGCGGCTGGACCGTGCGTGAGAAGCTTAAGTGGGCGCGCCGCTATAAGGAGCTCGGCTCCTTGAAGAAGACAAGCGCGGAGTCCACCGCGAGCGTCGCCTGCATCACACGCTGGAGCGCGGAGGCGGCTGCGGGCATCTACAAGGGCGCGGCTAACTGCCGCAAGCGGATGCACGGGGGGGGCCGCCACGCACACTACCCCGACATGGAGGCAGCGTTGTACCGCTACATCTGCCTTCAGCGCGCTAACGGGGTGGCCATCTCGGTGAAGGACAGCCAGAAGTGGAGACGCGCGTGGATGAAGAAGCATCACCGCGGCAAGAACTGGAACGCGAGCTCCCACTGGAGCCAGCGTTTCCGTGACCGCTGGAACCTGGTGATGCGGGTAAAAACGAAGGTCGGACAACGTCTGTCGGCAGGTGCGTGGATAAGGAGTTCGTGCCGCGCACGTCCCCTCGTATGCATGTCTTACCTTGCTCGTTGTCTAACCGCCCCTCCACGCTTCTGTTTCTGTCCCGTTTGCAGAGTGCGCGAAGGACTGCGAGTCCTTCTGGAAGTTCGTGCGCATCAACCGGGCGCGGCACAACATCGACCTGGCCCGTATCATCAACGCGGACCAGACGCCACTGTTCGTGGAGATGCCGGCCGAGAGGACGATCGAGCACCGTGGCGCGCGCTCGGTCCCAATCCGCACCGCAGGCTACCAGAAGACGCGCTTGACGGTGATGCTAGCGTGCACCGCATCCGGGGATAAGCTGCGGCCGTGGGTGTGGTTCAAGATGAAGAACGTCCCCAACTGTGAGATTCCGGACGGTAAGCGCCATGAATTCAACCTGGCCCTTGCCGTGCGAGCGTGCCCCACTGTGCTGATGCCCGTCTGTCCCTTGTGTGCCTGGCAGGAATCGTGGTCCAAGCACAGGACAACGGGTGGATGGACGAGAGCGCTGTGCAGACCTGGCTGTCCAAGGAGGTGCTGCCCCATCTGAACCCCCAGCGCGGCCAGAACGCGAGGCGTGCGATGCTGGTGTTGGACTCCTACCGCGGCCACATCACCCAGACCATGCTTCAGTCGTACCGCACGCACAGCATCACCCCTGCAGTCATTCCAGCGGGTTGTACGAGCCAGATTCAACCCCTGGACGTCTCCATCAACCGGTGCTTCAAGGCTGCCGTGCGAGCGCGCTACGCCCGGTGGTTCATGCGCGAAGGGATCCACCTGAAGACGAAGAAGGGTGAGTTGGCGGTTCATTTCGAATTCCTGCTCTGTTTCGTGTCCTTGACGTTAACATCTCGCTGCCGTGTCCTCTGTCCCACCCGTCAGGGAACCTGCGGAGGCCTCCGCACCCCGTGGTGCTGCAGTGGATCGCGGAGGCTTGGGATCAAGTGCCCAGGCAGATCATCATCGACGCGTTCCGCCACTGTGGGATCTCCAGCAAGCTGGACGGAACGGAGAACCACCTGGTGATGTCTCACCTGCGCGCCAGGAGCACCACCGATGTCTCCGAGGACATGTCCCTCGGGGGGACCACAGGCGACAACACGCGCCTGCTCGGGAAGGCGCCAGAGGAGGAGGAGGAGGAGGAGGAGGAGGAGGAGGTGATGCAGGCGGAGGGCGTGCGGGAGGTGGCCGTGGCAACTGGCCTGGAGGTGCTGTACCAGGAGACCCCCAACTACCGCGGAGCGGCGGCCGAGGCTGACCGCATGATCGAGCCTAGGGAGACGGCTAGGCATGCCTGGCGAGTGCCAGACTTGAGAGTAGAGCCTGTTGCTAGTGCGCCAGAGGAGGCGGTGACCGAGGGGGGTTAGGTAGAAGTAGAGATTCATGCATGTATGGATGTACCCCCCTAAAGTAAGAAAGGTTCGTTTAGAAGACACCCCCTCTTTATAAGAAAACCCCTAAACCCCGAGGCTGATTATAAGACATATATGTCTTATCTCGTACACACAAATAGGTGTCGTATAAAAAGGCTAACCTGTTTATAAGAGACACCCGTATTGTAGACACCCCCTGTCTACTATTCAACACTGTCTTATATCCGGGCAATGACGGTAACACTCCCCTTCATTCCTGGGCGCGGATGGAGCTGACTCGCTTGACTACTCCGGTGAGGTCGGAGCAGTGCTTGTACTGCTGACGTGGCAGGCGCTTGGTGAGGAAGTCTGCTGCCATCTCGGTGGTCGGGCAGTAGGCGAGGTCAACTTTGCCTTGGTCAATTTCGTCCTTGACGAAAAAGTATCGAAGCGTGATGTGCTTCGTGCGGTTCACGAAACCTGGCTTGTTCGCGATCCTGATGGCGCTCTGGTTGTCGCAGTGAAGGCGAAAGGTAGGCGAAGTTGGAATTTTTGCTTCCTGCAGCAGCTCCTGCAGGTATAGCCCTTCGCGAACTGCTGCTGTCGCGGCGATGTATTCTGCTTCGGCCGATGACAGGGCAACCAGCTCCTGCTTCTGTGAGTTCCAGGAGATTGGCCCAGTTGGTTCCAGGCGAAAGACGAAGCCAGTTCGGGACCGTCGATTTTCAGGATCAGCTGCATGGTCTGCGTCCACGTAGCCGTTGAGGTTGAAGGAGGTCGTCGTCAGCGTGGAGTAGGAGAGCCCAATGTCAGGTGTGGAGATGAAGTACTGCAGGGCGCGTTCCAGGTCCAGCTGGTTCTCTGCTACTGGCTTGCGAGAATACTGCGCCAGTTGGCTAGCGATGTACGAGAGATCGGGTCGGCAGGTGACAGAGGCGAACAGCAGGCAACCCAATTGCTGCTGGTACAGTTGAAGTCCTGCGGGTGACAGTGGCTTGTTGTCCGGTTTGTAGTTGGTGCTGGGGCTGCGGTAAGGAGTTGAGAGTGGTGCGGGAGAAATGTTGAAGCGTTCCCCTAGCTGCTCTGCGTACTTGGAGGCTGACAGATGAATTGCTTCTGGCGCGTAAGTGATATTTAACCCCAAAAACTGCTTTACTTTGGAGTTGATGGTGATATCCACGCGCTGCGCCAGGTTTTCCTGAAATTGATCCAGAAGTTTGTTGCAGGTCCCCGTGTACAGCAGGTCGTCGACGTAGACTGTCAGGAGGATGTAGTCGCCATTGAAGTGAAGGCGATACATTCCCGGGTCGTGTGGGAGCTGTTTGAAGCCGATTTCGAGGAGGATTTTGTGCAGGTGCTGCTGCCAGAGGCGAGGCGCCTGCTTGATCCCGTAGAGGGACTTCTTTAGTTGACAGACCCTGGGATCTCCTTCCCCGTAGGTGTGCGGCTGCTCCACAAAGATGGTGGCGTCCACCAATGCGTATAGAAACGCGTTCTTTACGTCGATCTGTCGCAGTGGTAGGTGCTTCGCGGCGGCAATGGCGAGTAAAATCCGGACTGAGGTGTGGCGACTGACTGGGGCTGCCACCGTGGCGCCCCGCTTCCCGTCGCTGCGGCGCCCCGGTTCCCGTCGCCACGGCGCCCCCCATTCCCGTCGACCGCGGCCCCTCCCCGCCCTCGTCGCCCCGCGATTCGCTAGCGCTAGCGCAGACGCCAGCGACGAGCGCCAGCGCCACGGCCAGCGCGGAGCGCCAGTGCGGACCGCCAGTGCCAGCCCCTGCGACGAGCGCCAGCGCCAGCGTCAACGCCTGCGCCAGCGCCGACAGCAGCTCACGCCGCCCCCCCCTTCCGCGGCTTTCATCGTGGGGAGGGGGGAGGGGGAGATGTGGGGGTGGCGGGTGTGAACCGCCAGGGTTTCGTCCCCCCTAGTTGCTGTAGGGGGAGGGGGGAGGAGAGAGGTTAAGGGGGGATGAGAGAGGTTAAGGGGGGACGAGAGAGAGAGAGAGAGAGAGAGAGAGAGAGAGAGAGAGAGAGAGAGAGAGAGAGAGAGAGAGAGAGAGAGAGAGAGAGAGAGAGAGAGAGAGAGAGAGAGAGCCCTAGGGTCCGCTGCACCTGCCGTTACGTCGCTCTCGTGCCCTAGGGTCCGCTGCACCTGTTGTTACGTCGCTCTCGTGCCCTAGCGCCCGCTGCGCCTGCCGTTACGTCTCTCCAACCGTCCCGCCGCGTCGCGCTGTCCGTCCGCGTCGCGCCGTCCATCCCGTCCCGTCCGTCCGCGTCACGCTGCCCGTCCGCGTTGCGCCGTCAGTCCCGTCCCGTCCGTCTGTGTCGCGCTGCCCATCTGCGTCGCGTTGTCCGTCCCGTCCCGTCCGTCCGCGTCGCGCTGCCCGTCCGCGTCGCACCGTCCGTCCCGTCCCGTCCGTCAGCGTCGCGCTGCCCGTCCGTCCCGTTCGTCCGCTTCGCACTGCCCGTCCGCGTCGCGCAGTCCGTCCCGTCCCGTCCCGTCGCGTCGCGTCGCGCCGCGCTGCCCATCCTGTCCCGCTGCATCGCGTCGCGCTGCCTGTCGGTCGCGCTACCCCTGCCCGTGGCGATGCGCCCTCCTAGTCCAGCAGTGTTGCGCCCTACTCTGTGTCCTGTAGCGCCCTACCCTATGTCCCGTAGCGCCCTACCCTATGTCCCTCAGTGATTAGGGTTTCAGCAGCAGCACTTCCCACCTCTTTGCTTTTGCTATGGCGACCCCTAGGGTCCTGCGCTTTGACGCCGAGGGTAGGCCGCTCGAGTTCTCGGTCTGGCTCCTTCGTGCGCGCCGTCTTTTAGAGAGTCAGGTTCAGGCCCATGAGTCTCTATGGGCGCACGCTTCCGGCGACCTTCCTAAGCCCGACGACCCTGCACCCTAAGGCACTCCAACACTGCTGACAGACACCGTTATGCCCGCCAGCGTGCTGACCTGACAGCGTGGAAGTCGCGTGACGATGCGGCCTTCATCGCCCTCAACAGCCTCCTCCCTGAGTCTGAGGAGGCCCACTTCACTCAGGTTCGCACGGCTAGTGAGTTCCTGACTGTGATCAAGGCCCGCTACGCTACTCCCACCACTGTCTCTCTTGGTGGCCTGTTCCTCCCGTTCTTGTTTCCTGATCTCGCCTCGTTCGAGCGCTCTGCTGACTTGATTGCTCACCTCCGCTCGCTCGATTCTAGCTACCGCGCTGCCTGCACTGACGCACAGCTTCCACTCCTTCCTCCCCCTATGGCGATTACCATCTATTTTGTCGCCACTAGCCTCCCTGACCGCCTTGCCTCGGTTTGTGACGCACTTCTTATGAAGCACCCTAGCGAGCTCACTATCGACGAGAGCAACCTCCGCTCGGTAGCCTCAGCCTCTGGTGCTGTGCCCCCTCCACTGTTTCACGGGTGCACTGTCCCTCAGCTGCCCACCTTTACTGCCTCCTTCGCCACTGCCACTACTGACGTGACCGCAGCTGCTGTTACGACTTCTTCGCGATCTCGGGGTAGGAGTGGCAGGAAGGGCGGTCACGGTGCGGGCGGAGGCGGCGGAGGCGGTGGGGGTGACGTGGCAAGCGGCGGCGGCGGGAGTGCAGGGGCTAGAGGAGCGCCCCGTGCAGCGGCCAGTGACTCTCCTGTTGCAGGTGGTGGAGGTGACGCACGGGTTCGTCCGCCACCTACTGGTCGGCCAGCCGCAGGGGGTGGAGCAGCGGCGTGGTACTTGACTTAGCGACAGCAGCAGCAGCAGCAGCCCCTCCCCTCGCAGCAGCCACAGCATCAGCAGCGGCAGCCCCTCCCCTCGCAGCAGCCACAGCAGCAGCAGCGGCAGCAGCAGGTTTCGGGGCAGGGGTCGGTACAACGTCAGCTGTAGCGCGGTGTTGTCCACCCTCCCTGCACCTATCACGTTCTGACAGGTGCTCGCCGAGGCCAGCCTTGTGGCCACAGCCACCCACCGGGTCAGTGTTTTGCTCAGCTTACGGACACAGTTCGGTTGGCCTACAGCGTTGACGGCCCTGCCCCTGTGAGGATCTAGGATCGAGCTCAGAAAAGAGAATGTGAATTGAATGATTCACCTAGGTACAAGACGAGGCTATATATAGGCTCGACACAAGGCCAGTTACCCAGGTGTTACGCGAATGTTCTGAGGGTCGCGAAGCGTCCCGAACAGAACCTTCCCGAACTCAGTTGAAAGCAATTCGGTGGAAACCGAATAGGCTTGAGTTCGGTACACGTAACCTGGTTCGGTGCTATAACTATAATAAAGTATAGGAATGCACCTAACCTAGGAAATCAAGCATATCTATGCATGATGAATAAAACCCAAGCTAGTAATAGCATAATAAAGTATAGGCAAGCTAGCAAAGCCAGCATAAGCCGTCGTACTCTCACACGTCCCCCCCTCAAAGCTGGGTGGCGTGAGAAACAACCTGCTTGACAAGATAGTCATTGAGAGCACGGCGTGCGTTGCCCATATCAGCTTCTGCAACCCAACTGTCCTCAGTGGGGTCGTATCCCTTCCAGCGGATCAGGAACTCGAGGGTCTTGCCGCCGCGGCGTCGATGAGTGAGAACACGCTCCACTTCGTACTCGGGTTCATCCTGTAAGAGAACAGGTGGTGGTGGCGGTAGCTGCCGTCCCTGGAACTGTTGGTTGGGGTCCTTGTAGGGCTTCAGTAGCTGAACATGGAAAGCGTTGTGAAGCTTCCATGTATCTGGTAAGCGCAAGCGGAATGTTACTGGTGTCACCTGAGCCTCAACGAGAAAAGGACCACAGAAGCGAGGCCGGAGTTTGGATGGGAGGTGAGACAGGTTCAAGTTGCGCGTGTCAAGAAGCACCTGATCCCCGACTGCTACTAAGTGATCTCGTCGCTGACGATCGGCATACTGCTTCTGGGAGGTCTGCATCCTGGTGAGTCGTCGCTGAGTCTTCTCCCATAGCTGCTGCATGGTGGTGACGAAGTCATGTGCGGCTTGGATGTGTGCCGGTGTGGTTGGCTGCTGTGGTGTGAGTGGTTCCCGTCCGTAACACAGGAAGAAAGGAGTTTTCCCTGTGGCCGCATGTGACGCGTTGTTGTAAGCGAACTCTAGGGTCGGTAACTGTGTGTCCCAGTGGCTGATGTCGTCTTTGCAAGCTATGCGCAGTAACTGTTCAACCACTTGATTGAGTCGCTCTGTCTATCCGTCAGTCTGTGGGTGGTATGCTGAAGACATTGCAAGCTTTGTCCCCAACAGTCCCATGAGCTCCTTCCAGAGCTTACTGGTGAATTTTGGGTCTCTGTCTGAGATGAGTGTAGCGGGGATGCCGTGGATGGTGATGATGCGGTCGAAGAAGAGTCGAGCAGTTGCTTCAGCTGTAGCTGTGGATTTGGTCGGTATGAAGTGACCCATTTTGGAGAACTTATCGATTACTACGAGGATGGAATCGTGCCCCCGTGAGGTCGAAGGAAGTCCTGTGATGAAGTCGAGGCTAACGACCTGCCATGGCTGCTCCGGTACAGGTAGAGGCTGAAGTAACCCTGCTTTTTTCTGCTTGCTACTCTTCATCCGCTGGCACGTGTCGCAAGAGGTGACGAACTGCTGCACGTCTGCTGCCATCCCGGGCCAGTAGTAATACTTCGCTATCCCTGCTAACGTCTTGTTGCTCCCGAAATGTCCCGCGTATGGTACATCGTGAAACTCCTCCAATAGGATCTGCCTTAGCGGGGCGCAATTCGGTACCCAAATCTTTCCTGAACCCTTCCTTACCGCTAAGTCTTTCTCCCACTGTAACAGCTTCTTAGTCTGTGCTGTAGTGATCTCTGCGTCCACGGAGTACCCATGTTGGAATAGACCCTTGAGCAAAGGGTTCATCCCGTCGAGCTGGATGCCTGCTACATGTCCGGGGCGGCTCAACGCGTCTGCCTTGTTGTGTAGCCCGGGCTTGTAGATGATGTCGTAGTGGAAGTGGGTCTCCAAGAAATCCACCCACCGCACCTGTCGTCGTGAGAGCGTAGGCTGCGACTTCAGGTATTTGAGGCTGCAGTGGTCAGTATAGACTGTGGTCTTGGCTCCCTCTAGGTAACACCTCCATGCCTTGAAGGCGACGACTATCGCTAAGGCTTCCTTGTCGTGAATGGGGTGGTTCAGTTCTGCTCCGTGTAGCTTCTTACCGAGGTAGGCGATAGGCTGTAACCCGTTTCCGTGATCTTGCATCAGTACTGCTCCGACTGCCTGGTCACTAGCGTCTGCTTCAACTACGTAGTCCTTCTCGGGGTCCGGTAGGATGAGTACTGGTGCTGTGGTCAGTGCTGTCTGTAACTGCTCCATGGCTTGCTGATGAGGAGTATCCCATTCGTAGGGCGTATCCTTTTTCAGTAGGTCGGTCAGTGGCGCTGCTATCTTAGCATACTGCGGTACGAACATGTTATAGTAGTTGGCGAAGCCTAGGAACTGCTGCAACTCCTTCACGTTCTCCGGTACTTTCCACTTCTTGACGGCTTCGATCTTCCGCGGGTCCACGTGTACGCCCTCGGCACTCACCATGTGCCCGAGAAACTGCACCTTCTTCAGTGCAAAGTCGCTCTTCGACAGCTTCACGTAGAACTTGGTTTTCCGCAGGATCTCGAACACCTTCCGCAGATGCTCCACGTGCTCCTTCATATTCTTGGAGTAGATGAGAATGTCGTCCAGGTACACCACCACGCACTCGTCCAGCAGGGGTCGTAGGATGTGATTCATCTCCGCCTGAAACGTTGCTGGTGCGTTGCAGAGTCCGAACGGCATCACCAAGTATTCGTAGGAGCCGTATCTGGTACGGAACGCCGTCTTGTGGACCGAGTTGTCTGCCATCTTGATCTGCCAGTAACCCGACCGTAGGTCCAGCTTCGAAAAGACTGTTGCATCACGCAGTTGGTCCAGTAGGTCGTCTATGCGCGGTATGGGGTATTTGTTTTTAACTGTCTGTTTGTTCAGTGCGCGGTAGTCGATGCACATCCGTAAACTGCCGTCTGGTTTTGGAGTGAAGAGGACTGGTGCAACGTAGGGAGAGGTGGATGGGCGGATCAGTTGTCTGTCCCGTAGATACTCTATCTGTTTCTTCATGTCTGTCAGTTCGGTCGGACTCAGTCGGTATGGTGCACGTGAGACGGGTTTCGCACCTGGTTCCTCCACGATCTCGTGCTCGTGGGTGCGTGCTGGAGGTACGCCTGTGGGTAGGTCGTCGGGCATTATATCCTTGTACTGCTCCAAGACCTCCTTCACTGCTGCAGGTAGCTCCGAACTCGGCTTCTCCTCCTCTGCTACTGCCATAACCAGTGCTAAGTAACCCGTGTTGCTCTCGTTCACCGTCCGTTCGAACTGTGCCAGTGTCGTTTCAGGAACGCTCCCTGTATCTGTCCAGCTTCGCAGCTCCACTCGTGTCCCGTTGTTGTAGATGCACGCCTTCCTGTTGACCCATTCGATCTCGGGGTTGAACCGCTTCAAGAAATCTCGCCCCAAGATGAAGTCTAAACCCTTGATGTTCGTGATCGGCAACGTCGGCTTCCACCTCAGCGCCCCTATGTGCAGCTGCAGTGATGCTTCGCCGTGGATGGGAAGTTTCGTACCGTCCACTATTGTTGCCGAGAACTTGGTCTCCTCCGAAGATTCTCCAATTTTCTCCAACGTCCCGTGGTCGCACACCGAGTGAGACGCACCGCTATCGACTAGT